AAAAAAAAATTTAAATAAAAAAAAAGAAAATGCATTTTACATCATGACATATATATGTGCCTATTATGAGTATAATTGAAAAAGATGTTTGACCAAACAATGTTTTTCCCAACTATGTGCAAAGCATTCTGACATTTCTTATTTCATTTCATTTTTTTAAAAATATTGATTATGGTTCATTAAACTTGATTTCATAGTATACTTGTGAGTTGGGAACCCATATTTGAAAAATATTGTTCTAGAATCCATACTAATTATATTTGTAATAATTCAACTAACGTTCCTTAGCTGAGACCCTATCTTCCCAATGTAAGTCACTGTCCCTTATTAGCTAATGCATTTTAAGATAAGAACATTACTGAAATGTGACCACTTTTCTATAGCCAGTGTATTGCCCCAGGTGGCTATTTCCCCATTTAAACAAAACATAACCTTCATTTCAAATAGAAATCTTATTCTCAGAAAATATAATAAAAATTGAATAAACAGAGAATATATTGCAAAGGAAAAATATCCTTCCCTGGTCATGGGAAGCATGTGTTATATGTCAGGTGGCTACCCAAAATTGAACTCTATTTAGTTTTCACTTAAAAAAAATCTGTGATTTATGCAGCTTTTCTGAAAGTAGATATTCTGATGCTCTGAGAGAACACTTGGGAAGACATTAAGACTATGCTGTGGTAATTTTTTTTAATCTTGTAAAAATATCTAGCATATTTTGTGTAATTTTAAATACCGAAGCAGCATTTCAAGTCCTGACAGCCATATTTGATAAAACTCTCCTAAAATTTGAAGCCATTATTATTTAACACAATTTTGCTAGGCTAGGTTTTGCTATAACTCATTCTGTAAGTACTTTGTTATAGAACTTGCTTCTGTCCTAAAATATATTATCATTGCCTATTTAAACTGCTTTTCAGATTCTATTACTGTTAAACACTAAGGCAAGCATTGCTTTAAAGGAGGAAACCTGTATTAATTTCGTCAATATGGAGAAAAGCTATTTTCAAAACAGACTGTATAATGTGAAGAAACTTAATATAGAACCTATTAGAAATGAGGTACAAGCCCTTAAAAATGTTAGGGACTTTCTGTTGTTTAAAATGAAAGTTCCACCCAGGCTTAGCTGAGCTTATAGCTCAAGTGAATATTGATATATGAATTTACAAATTTTAGAAGTAGAGTTTTATGGAAATGCTAACAGGCCCTGAGGTATGGCCAAACTTGCTTTCAGGTACTGCTATAATTTCCAGTATGTGTATGCTTAAAGACTGAAACACAAAAGACTTTTTCTAATGCTGTAATTTTGTAGTTTTATTAGACTGAGTTATAGTATGGGAGAATATTCAGAAATTGCAGCTTAAATGAGAAAACGTGAATGATGTTACTTATATAAAATACTACTGCAATAGTTCTTTTATTAATTTTTAATGTTCAGCACCCTCTGTGACCTCCTTTATTCTCTTGCTGTCAACATGGCAGGCTGGAAAAATTGAAATGGGCTGACAGAAAACATAGTGCACGTTACAACCCAACTCTAGAGTCTCTTGACTCTTTTTCTGTGGCGCATGCTAACGTGGTCCATGCTATTCTGCATTACAATAATATTTAAGGCCCTGTCTGATAGCTCCTGATAAAAGCAAGCTGCGTCTGGAGGCCGAGCAGGTGCTCTTTGTCAGCCTTCCTCTTTCTGACACTGTGGGAATGCCATTCAATTAAAAGCAGAATATAACCTTTCATCGTTGTTGTTGATCATGGCTCATAGACACACTTCATACTTTCAAAACAGAATATCTCAGCATGGATAGAGCTTTGTTTGTGTCTGTCTAGCCTCTTCCAAAAGCACATTTTGGTCTGATTCAGCAATGCTTTTCTGGAACAGTGGGAAACGGCTATGTTATACGTATTTACCGCTTTCTCTATCACCAAGGAGACTAATTAATCCCCATACCAGCAATGTCAAGAACCTCATAGCATTGTCTTTGCAAGACCAAGTTCATGTTGTCACAGCCACAGAGTACACAGGGCAATGATATGGGACAGGACCTTGGCATTAAAACTTCCTTTTATTTTTTAAATGCAAGTGTTCGATGATGAGAAAGAGCAGGCAATGGTGTGAGGGCTGCAAATGTCTTGTCAGCTGAAGCTTAATTCAGTGGGTTAGTGGTTTGTTTGGGACAGTTGTGAAAGCAAAGTTTTTTGAATAAGATAGATTTTAAAATTCAAGAAAGAGTGAAAATTAATCCAGACTATGAAAAAGATATTATAATTAGAGTATTTTTCTTCTGGAGGGCCCTGGTTTTAGCTTTTACTAACAAATGGCAAAAATCGTGACAATGAGAAATTCCGGGGAAAGCACAGACCACAATAGAATAGAATTTGTGCAAGATCCTATCTCAGTATTCTCTCATCTTGTGCTAACAGTCCTTGAACCTTCACATTTAATCTGTTCTGTTTGTCATAACTACTAGGAATAGTTACCATCAATGAGTTATAAGACTTGAGATCATAAAAGATATGAAACTCTTGCTTGCAACATGACCTTCTGATTTTTCAGTAACCTTCAAAGAAGTATAATGCAAAGAGTAACACCTACCAGACACTCCTCCATATGTGGTCCTCTTTCCAATACCCACTGCTGGCCAGGGCGTGGCATCAGATTTTAATCCCATCAGACCCGAGACAGTATTGGTGGCTGTAACACCGTCGGCACCACCTATGAAGAACACATTTCCCTGCAGTTCTTAAAGACACGATGGTTGAAACCCCCACTCAAATCCCCATGACCCAGGAAAATACACACTCAACTTTCTCTTTAGAACATTTCCTTCACAATTATTTAACTTCACAATTATTTATTCACAATTATTTAACTCTTACAATTATGCTTAAAATACTAGACATGAAAAAAGTTTTAATTACCATGACTTCATTTTCTCAATTATTATACAGACTTGTTGATGCCAAATGTATTGTATTCAGTGTTATTTTTTAGGTAATTTACAATGTCTTTGCAAGTCAGGGTGCAATTTCCCTGGGATGGAACACGAGCACGTATGATTTATAAAGTCATGAATTGACTGCACGATTTATGTATTCAACAGATATTTATTGAGTATGGGTTTAAGAGAGTGTGCTAGGCCCTATCAAATATAAAGGAACTGGTTAGAAAGTTCACATTGTGGAAGTCGCTATGTCTTTCTTTTTTTTTCTCTTTACTTTGTTAGAGGTCCAAATGCTACTGCTGAATTGTTACATTATTAAGTCATTTATTTTGGAGAGGTTTGGTGTGACTGTGGTTTTAACTCATAATTCTTTGTGCATGAAACAAGTGTTTATTAGGAAAAATTATAAATGATCTTGAGTTCCTAGATCAAAATTTGGGTCCATTTACTAGCTTGAATAAAGGTTATAACTCTACTGTATTTGTGAGATCAAATGCTTAATTTAATGCTTTAAAAATGAAAACAAAAAATATACACATGTTTGTGAGAAAAGACATATTTTAGTATAGCTACATAATTCCAGCCAATATTTACAAAACTGGGCAACTGACGCAAGTCTAGTTCTTACCTTCCTTTGCAGCTCTTGCGATGTTCACAATATCAGTGACATTTGGGGTCAACTTGGCAAAAAACGGAATCTGAACAGCTTGCCTAACCCAGCGACAGATGTTCCGCACCAGCTCTGGATCCTGTTCAAATAGGTCAGTTAAATATAGAATATAATTAAAGAATTGTGATCACAATGTGTACTGGAACAACAGCAAAGCTGGAGATGTGCAAGACAAATCCAACTTGACAATGAGCTACATGATATATTTCTCGAATTCCTCCTCAGTATTACACCTAGACTCATTAGGGAACTAAGGTTAACATACTTCAAGTGAACTGCAAATTCATCACATAAAGGTTAAATTCCTCAAGGGAGCCTTTGGAAAATAAAATTACAAAGAACCAAATGGAAGAAAGTGTTTCCCACCTTAAATAATATCAGAAATGAAACATAAACTTTTGGTGGTAAGTACAGGAAACTTTACAGAATTTCTAGATCTCATTGGTTTAAGCAAAAAAAAAAAAAAATTAAACTGCTGACTCCTGGGTGAATGATACTAAATCTAAAGCCTGTTGTTTTCATTATTAGAAGATTTAGTCTTGTCGAAGCGTATTCAGTAGAAAAATCTACCTGTGACTTCATCATCAATCTAAATGTGATATATACTATATGCTAATACAGAATAATTCAACCTTGGATTTTACATGAGCTGATCAGTAACTTTAACTTACTTTTGTGAATGTTACTAAGATTTGTGCAGCATTTTTCAACACTCACGTACTTGAAAGAATTGATCAAAATGACAAAAATGAAATAAAATATCAAATGCTCATTTTTAAAAGCAAGTAATAGACATTTTCCTATGCTTGTTTCCTGTGATTTTTCAGGCTTTTATTTTTTTATGGGGCAAGTATCATTTAGAGGGCAAATACCTATCCTTTCCATTGAAATAATTTAGATGTAGTAATATTCTTTGATTTCAACACATACAATAGTCCTTTTTTCCATTACTTTTAGTGCAAAATTTATTCTGACAGGTACCGATAATGTGCTTTGATAAATTACTTTAAAATATGCAATAGCAATTCGTTATTGAACTTGGTAATATAATCTTAGCAAGTTAAAATGTTTTTTGAATAAAAGTAAAACCCAGAAAAATATTGGCATACATTTAAACTATGAAATATTAGGCAAGCATATCATCTGTAATTAATATTTTTATAGGTAAGAAAGTTGCTCTTTGCATTTTAACCTTTCAAATTCTTTTAAGATGAGATTTCTAATGTTATAACCTTTAGAAAGAACCTTTTCACTTAGGCTTAATGTGTCTTGATCTGTCATCCTGTATTACTCTAAAAGTTAGGAGTTTTTGTGCTACGATACTGCAATGAGGTAATTTCTGTTGATTGTTATCATCTCTATTCAGCAAAACTTAATACTTTGAACCAGAAATATTTGGCTTGACTTGTTCTCTTTTCGGAACAGTAATTTCTTCATTAAACATAAATATTAAAAAAGTACTATATGGAATGCTCTACGGGGCATACTGTGCATTATGAATAGTAAAATCTAGAGACTTAGCTGTACAAATTCTAACTCATGAAAATGGAGATCTCCCCCTGCCCATGCAATGTTCATGAAATATTTATAACTGCTGCATTGGTATTATGAAGGCAGTTGCATCTTTGTGACTTTCATTTCTAAGTTATGAATTTCCATGGGACTTAGCCTAGAAATGACAGTAACTCTAGATGATATGAATTGCATGTCCTTTGTGAAAGCTCTCTTTAAGGTAGAATTTGACAATAATTTAAAGATCACTTGAATTGCATAATACATGGAAGGTAGCCTGATAAGAATTACTGAAACATGTTTAAACTATTTTTTGGTTCCAGTAGAGTAAACACTAATAATCTGATATAGGCTTCTAAGTGGCTTTCAATACTATTGACCATCATGTCGTTATAATTTACTTTGAACATTTGTTGGACTTTTTTCCCAATTTTCAGTAGTTGACTACTTGAAATAACTGCCTCTTGCTCATTGTTTAACAGTTTGGAATTTGTTCAAAGTTTTTCCGTTTCTTAAAAATATAGGGTCCCTTGGTTACTGCTATTTACTTCAGTCATCTGTCCTTATTTTGAGCTACCATAATTTGACCCTCCTATAGTTTCATAAATAAGGTTGACGGTGTTTGGATATATTTTCTCATCTTCATAGTCAGCCAAGCCAGCTGATGACTAATCATTATAGCCAACTGAGACTCAATTTGATTACCTGAGAATTTTAAAAACTATTTTTGACCAACATTATTGTGAAAATTAATGACTGTTCTGTAAATTGCAGTTTTGTTTGACAGGTATAATCGGGGATATTCTAATACAACTAGAAATGTGGTGAAGCCAATAACATGATAAAATGAATCTGTATATAATACTTTGAGGAATTAGAGAATAGACTATAACTATTCACACTTTCCTGGTTTCTTCATACTTTTGATATGAACATTAAAGATCTTAAAGCAATTAATAATGTTTCTGTATCTCGGCCTTCTCATTTTCTAGTGGTAGCATCAGATAGCTTTGCCATTTGTAACAAGCCAATTTATAGAGTCTTATTGAAATGAATACATTTTAGACAATTTCTAATTCTCCTCAAAATCTTCGGGATAGGCCGGGCGTGGTGGCTCACGCCTGTAATCCTAGCTCTCTGGGAGGCCGAGGCGGGCGGATTGTTTGAGCTCAGGAGTTCGAAACCAGCCTGAGCAAGAGCGAGACCCCGTCTCTACTAAAATTAGAAAGACATTAATTGGACAACTAAAAATATATACAGAAAAAATTAGCCGGGCATGGTGGCGCATGCCTGTAGTCCCAGCTACTCGGGAGGCTGAGGCAGGAGGATCGCTTGAGCCCAGGAGTTTGAGGTTGCTGTGAGCTAGGATGATGCTATGGCACTCTAGCCCGGGCAACACAGTGAGACTCTGTCTCAAAAAAAAAAAAAAAAATCTTTGGGATAAGAAATATAGAAAGGTACTATTATCTCTCAGACAAATTGAGGCTTTAATATTATCAATACCAGCAAACGGCAAGTAACACAAAACATTTCTGGACTGTTCTATTTACAGGCACTCAAAAAATATTTGTTGTGTTAATGAATGAAGAATGTACGAAACTCAGCACATTTACAATTTATTTCTTTATATATGCATCAAAATATAAGACTATGCCTAGGTTCAAGTGAAACCCAGATATAGCTGGGCATGGTAGCTTGTGCCTGTAATTCTAGCTAGTTGGGAGGCTGAAGCGGGAGGAACACTTGAGCCAAGGAGTTCAAGATTAACTTGGGCAACATAAGGAGAACCTTGTCTCAAAAAAAAAAAAAAAAACCCTAAAAAACAACTAGATATATTTTATGATAGATAATGCCTAAAAGTATGAAACAAAAGCGAAGAAGACTTCTTTACAAACCTGGGATCATGGGTGAAAAAATGATAGAGAATTATGCAAAATGGAATACCTTAAGTCTTTTAAAATGTCTAATATACAAAAGTCTACCTGGATGAACAAATTTTTACTGGCGCTTTCTCTCCCACATGCATGTGTGTGTACTTTGATACCTGTTAACACTTTTCTTATTCATGTGACTGCTAAAGAAAGATATGGGGCAACAGAATGGGTTTCCTGTGTTGGAGTGGATGGCATTACAAGTAGGAAGGCACTGAGTGACAGGCCGGGAGAGCAAATTGTGGTCTTGAGGATACTACATGATGTGAAGGTACCAGACCAGACTTGTAAAGTGCTGTATACAGAGGATAAAAACAGGTGACAGACAAATTTGGCCTATTGGGAAATTTTTGATGAGGCATATCCCAGTGTCTGCCTGCAGCTAATATTCTCTGGAATAGATTCCTATGAAAACCAAACAACAGTGACAACAGCAAAAACCAGAAAATGTAGTGCTGAGTAGATTGCTACAGTAGTTTTCATTGTGCAAAAATCGCTGTTTTTAAAGCTTACTTTCCTATCTGAGTCATAAAATAACAATTTTTAACTCTAGTAACTAGTATGTTTCTAGTTGCTTATTAAAGGAGTTCTATAAATGATCCACCCTGCTGCTTTTCAGGCCCTGAAGATGATCTCTCCATTGTAGGGCAGGCATTTCCACCAATTACTTAGGGCATCAAATCTCATTGGTTTCATGTCCTCTACAAAGGACTAAGCACTACAGAATGAGACTGTGAAAATTCCTTGATAAGCTAAATTGCAAGTGAAAGTTTGACTTCAAGAAACATTCTCTCCAATTTACCTGATAATTTTCACTCTGTACAATTCTTTTCAAATGGCTTTCTTAGAAGCTGGCATTTCAATGAATCCACTGAAAAATTTTACCAGTTATAAAATGTTTTCCACTATGGAATTCTTAAGTCGTAATTCACATGACATGCCAAGAAGTGGACAGCATTTTTATTATGTCCTCTTTTCTGATGGAGAGAAGTGGGGCCCAGAAGATCAATCTGAGCACCAATTTCACCTTCTTAATTTTCTTTCCCATTACCATGTCCTAAGCCATCATCTTCTTTAGCAAAACTGCTCCCTAAAGTGAAATTCAGCCATCAATTGTAAACTAGAACTATAAAAGGTTTCTACTTCATTTATACCCAAGAGACTACATGTAGCAGCAAAATAATAGGCAAAAATGATGTATTCATCCTTCTATGTCAATAAAATAGGACAGGCAGTTGACTACTTCAGGTATAATTATTAGTGAATGCAAAGGATGTGTGCTGAAATGCAAATGTTTTAAATTAAGTTTTAGCATGTGTCTTTTTTGCATCTATTTTCCTGCTTAAGAATTCTAATGATGGTACAACCACTTTAGAAAATAGTTGGGCAGTTTCCTATAAAGGTAAACATGGATTCACCAATCAACCCAGAAATTCCACTCTTAATTATATATCCAAAAGATATGAAAACATATTTCTACACAAAGACTTACACTAGAATGTATACAGGGACTTTTTCAAAATAGCCCCAAATTGGAATTAATCACAATATGCATCAGTACATGAGTAATTAAACAAACTGTTGCATATCCACACAATGAAATATTATTCAGCAATAAAAAGAAACAAACTAGTAA